AAAAAAAAAAAAAAAAAAAAAAAAAAAAATGGGTAAGAGACTTGACTAGACACTCCTCCAAAGATGTACAGCTATCCAATAAGCACATTAAAAAATGCTTAAAATTACCAATTATGGAAATGCAAATTAAAATCACAGTGGTATACCACAACATACCTAGTAGGATGGCTATAATTTGAAAAACGAACAAACAAAATGGAAAATGACAAATGTTGGCAAGGATATGGAGTAAGTAGAACCCTTATACATAGCTGATGAGAGTGTAAAGTGGTGCAGCCCTTGTGGAAAACAGTTTGGCAGTTCCTCAAAAAATTAAGCGTAGAACTTCCATAAGTCCTAGCAATTTCACTCTTTGGTATATATTCCAAAAAATTGAAAGCAGGGATTTGAACAGATACCTGTAAACCAATGTTCATAGCAGCATTGTTCACAATGGCCAAAAGGTGGAAACAACCAAGTGCCCATCAACAGGTGAACAGATAAGCAAAATGTGGTATATAAATATAAAAGAATACTATTCAGCCATAAAAAGGAAAAAAATCTTTTACGTATGCAAGAACGTGGATGGACCTTGGAAACATCATGCTTTGTGAAATAAGCCAGCCACAGAAGGACAAATATTATATGATTCCACTTGTATAAGGTACCTAGAATAATCATAGAGGTAGGAAACAGAATAGAGGTTATCAGGGGCTTGAGGAAATGGAATTATTGTTTCATAGGTACATAGTTAATGTTGGGGATGATTAAAACTCTGGGTATAGACTGTGGTGACAGAAGGTGAATGTATTTAATACCATGGAATGGTTACCACTTATAAATGGTTAAAATGATAACTACTATGTGTGTTTTACCAGAATAAAAAAAAATTAAACAAGAAAAAAAACAAATGTGATACACTCCCTCAAATGACTAAAATTTAAAGCACTCACATTAGCATGTGTTGGAAAGGATATGGAACTACTGGATTTCTCAGACACTGTTTTTAAGAATGTGAAATGGGGTGACTACTTTGGTAAACAGTGTGGCGGTTTATTATAAAGTTAAACATACACTTACCACTGAGCCCACCAATTCCACTCTTGAATATTGTCATGACAAATGAAAATGTAAGTATTAACAAATATTTCTATATATTCACAGCTGCTTTATTTGTAATAGTTCAAAACCAGAAACAATCCAAAGGACCATCTGCAAGTAAATGCATAAACAAATAAAAAATTATCTTTTACCACTGTTTAAAAAACGAAAAGACAGGTCATAGACTGTGAGAAAGTATTTTCAAAGCATACATCTGATAAAGGGCTCATACCCAGAATATACAAAGATCCCAGTAATAAGACAAATAACCCTGTTATGAAATATGCAAAAGATTGGAATACATGTCACCAAAAATATATATATAAATGGCTAATAAGCACAGAAATGCTTGTATATGAATGTTCAAAGTGGCATTATTCATAGTAGACAAAAAATGGAAGCAACCCAAATATCCATCAACTCATGAATGGATAAACAAAATGTAGTATGTCCATACAATAGAATACTATTCCTCAGTAATAAAAGAACAGTCTCCTGATTGTGAACTTCAAAAACATAATGCTTAGGACTTCCCTGGTGGCACAGTGGTTGAGAGTCTGTCCGCCGATGCAGAGGGACATGGGTTCGTGCCCCGGTCCGGGAAGATCCCACATGCCGCAGAGCGGCTGGGCCCGTGAGCCATGGCCGCTGAGACTGCACGTCCGCAGCCTGTGCTCTGCAACGGGAGAGGCTGCAACAGTGAGAGGCCTGCATACCGCAAAAAAAAAACAAAAACATAATGCTTAGTGAAAGAAGCCAGTCATGAAAGACCACATATTGTATGATTCCATGCTTGTAGAATGTCCAGAATAGACAAATCATACTATAGAGACAGAAAGTAGATTAGTTGTTACCTGGGACTAGAGGTAGATACAGGGATTTCCTGCAGATGAGCACAAAAGATCTTGAGGTGATGGAAATGTCCTGAAAGTGGATGATGATGATGATGGTTGTCCAAGTCAGTAATTCGTTAAAAATCTTTGAATTGTACATTTCAAATAGTTGCATTTTGTGGTATATAAAATATACCTTAAAAAGTAATAAGAAGAGCCTGTAGGGTACATGGAAAGCACTTACCATCATTTACATATCAGGTAAAGACTTTGATTTAGCCTTTATGTGAATGTTGAATAATGGATCTTTTAAATAATAGAATTAAAAATTACTGAAGGGGACTTCAAAAATCAATAAGATGCAGTGTGTACATACACCCCACACCAAACTCCCAATATAGGTAAAGTTGATTTCTTAAAATTCAGCTAAACATAAATAAAAACAAAAACAAAAAGCTGTTAACAAATAGAAAAGGGCAGCCAGACGTAGAAGATATTTACAACTTGTAAAACAGACAAAGGACTAGTATGCAAACTATAGAAATGCCTCCTGGAAATCACTCATAAAGAGGCAAACACTCCAGTATGGAAATGGACAAGCTATATAAGCAGGTCATTACCAAAAGAGGAAAACTGAATAAATAATAAATGTTTAAAAAATTCTTTAGGAGTGATGTCAGCAAGATAGAATAGGAAGCCCTAGTCCTGTTCCTCCGCAGAGACACTAACTTAAAACTAGTGTATGACCCAAAGAGACTTTATGGGACTTCAGAAATCAATTACAAAGTCACAATACCCCTGGCAAACTCAAAGTCAAGCATAGCCATATCAAAATGGGTAAGAAAGCCTTTTCATATCAACCACAGTAGCCCCTCCCTTAAGCTGGCCTGGCTTGGGAGGATTGGGAGGAAAAGTCCAGCTGGAAGTATCTCCCTTGGGAGGGAAAGACTGGAAAGTATCCAGTGTTCTAACTTTTGGGGGGCTACGTGAGGGACTGCTATCTGTCCTTCCTGACTCTGACCACTGACAGGGAATCGGCATACTTTCAATTGCTGGAGACCATGGAGAGTTAAAGAGAGCTCAGCTGCTCTTTGCAGCAACAGAAAACTGGCCGTGCCACAGACAGGTTGGCTCAGGTCAGCATGATTAGGACAAAGTACCCAACTCACAACTTCTCTTTTGGGGTGGGGGTGGGGAGAAGAGTGGATGTGCATTCCATGTTACAACTTTTAAAGGGGCTACGCTAGAGATTAGTTTCCGTCTCCCCTGACGTGAGGCAGTAACAGAACCAGCATACTTTGGATGCCTGGGGGGCTGGAGAGAACAAAAGAGCTTAGTGGCTTGTTGCAGCATCAGAGAACCTGTGGTACCACAGATAAACACTAGAGGGAGGAAGAGATTATAAACTCCTGAAAAAGAAACTGGCAAAGCTCTAACTGGGAAATTATGTGCCTAGGCCCAGAGAAGATGCATCCCCAGAATATACCAAAAATTATAGGATGCAGGAAGAGCATTATTAAGAGGGAAGTATCTGGTGGTAAATGCCTTCATTAAAAAAGAAGAGGGGACTTCCCTGGTGGTCCAGTGGTTAAGGATCAGTC